CCTTCCATCTGCATGGCTTGTGTTACCTTCCATCTGTATGGCTAGTGCTACTTTCCATCTGCATAACTAGTGCTATCTTCCATCTGCATAGCCGTTGTCACCTTCCATCTGCATGGCTTGTGTTACCTTCCATCTGTATGGCTAGTGCTACTTTCCATCTGCATAACTAGTGCTATCTTCCATCTGCATAGCCGTTGTCACCTTCCATCTGCATGGCTTGTGTTACCTTCCATCTGTATGGCTAGTGCTACTTTCCATCTGCATAACTAGTGCTATCTTCCATCTGCATAGCCGTTGTCACCTTCCATCTGCATGGCTTGTGTTACCTTCCATCTGTATGGCTAGTGCTACTTTCCATCTGCATAGCTAGTGCTATCTTCCATCTGCATAGCCGTTGTCACCTTCCATCTGCATGGCTTGTGTTACCTTTTATCTGTATGGCTAGTGCTACTTTCCATCTGCATAGCTAGTGCTATCTTCCATCTGCATAGCCGTTGTCACCTTCCATCTGCATGGCTTGTGTTACCTTCCATCTGTATGGCTAGTGCTACTTTCCATCTGCATAACTAGTGCTATCTTCCATCTGCATAGCCGTTGTCACCTTCCATCTGCATGGCTTGTGTTACCTTCCATCTGTATGGCTAGTGCTACTTTCCATCTGCATAACTAGTGCTATCTTCCATCTGCATAGCCGTTGTCACCTTCCATCTGCATGGCTTGTGTTACCTTCCATCTGTATGGCTAGTGCTACTTTCCATCTGCATAACTAGTGCTATCTTCCATCTGCATAGCTGTTGTCACCTTCCATCTGCATGGCTTGTGTTACCTTCCATCTGTATGGCTAGTGCTACTTTCCATCTGCATAACTAGTGCTATCTTCCATCTGCATAGCCGTTGTCACCTTCCATCTGCATGGCTTGTGTTACCTTCCATCTGTATGGCTAGTGCTACTTTCCATCTGCATAGCTAGTGCTATCTTCCATCTGCATAGCTGTTGTCACCTTCCATCTGCATGGCTTGTGTTACCTTCCATCTGTATGGCTAGTGCTACTTTCCATCTGCATAGCTAGTGCTATCTTCCATCTGCATAGCCGTTGTCACCTTCCATCTGCATGGCTTGTGTTGTCCTTCCATCTGTATGGCTAGTGCTACTTTCCATCTGCATAACTAGTGCTATCTTCCATCTGCATAGCCGTTGTCACCTTCCATCTGCATGGCTTGTGTTACCTTCCATCTGTATGGCTAGTGCTACTTTCCATCTGCATAACTAGTGCTATCTTCCATCTGCATAGCCGTTGTCACCTTCAATCTGCATGGCTTGTGTTACCTTCCATCTGTATGGCTAGTGCTACTTTCCATCTGCATAACTTAGTGCTATCTTCCATCTGCATAGCCGTTGTCACCTTCCATCTGCATGGCTTGTGTTACCTTCCATCTGTATGGCTAGTGCTACTTTCCATCTGCATATCTAGTGCTATCTTCCATCTGCATAGCCGTTGTCACCTTCTATCTGCATGGCTTGTGTTACCTTCCATCTGTATGGCTAGTGCTACTTTCCATCTGCATAGCTAGTGCTATCTTCCATCTGCATAGCCGTTGTCACCTTCCATCTGCATGGCTTGTGTTACCTTCCATCTGTATGTTCTGCATATCTTCCATCTGCATAGCTATCTGTGCTACTTTCCATCTGTATGGCTATCTTCCATCTGCATAGCTAGGTGCTACCTTCCATCTGTATGAAGTGCTACTTTCCATCTTAGCCTAGTGCTATCTTCCATCTGCATAGCTGGTGCTATCTTTCCATCTGCAGAATGTGCTACTTCCATCTGCATAGCTGGTGCTATCTTCCAGCAGAATGACTCATTGCGCCTTCTCAGACTAATGCTTTTAGCTGACATTAAGTGGAAAGCTTATATTGAATCACTTGTTATTCTGCAGCTACGAATATTGATTTACTGTGTCGTGCTAGATGCTTTTTCCCCCAAAATCTATCATATATCTACAATTCGTCCTTGCTTTGAATATTTCAGCCTCATACGGTCTTGTGTTCCTTTATTTTAGAGATTCTTGTTAAAATCTAATGAAGAATCTGCAATGATATTGTCCTAACCTGGCACCCTGTCTTAAGTCATTTTCCCAACGTAGCAACGTAGCTTCCCTACGCCTTTTCTAGAAATACTTTCACGGTAATTGGTCTGATGAACTTTCCTCTATGGTACCTAGACTTTATGAATTTATGCGCGGTTTTATAGTTTGAATGGCTAGATGTAACCTTAAGTTCTATATTAACAGTTTCTTCTCGCCTGTGGAACTCTCTTCCGGCTTCTTGCTTCCCAGTTAACTTGGCCTTTAAAAATTTAAATGCAATGTCAATCGTTATCTTCTGTTTTTAATTGTTCTTTTATTGTTCTTTCTCCCTAATAATGGTTATTTTTCTCATCTTCTCTGATATTCAGTAAGTCATTTCTTTTTAGAGGCTTCATTGCCTTGTTTAGGGTGAAATGATTAAACAAATATCTCCAAACAGCCGTTATGTTTTCTTTCTGGTAATGAAAATAAAACATTAAATGCTATCTTTTTTTCTTTTTTTCACTTTAACGTAAACTGATCTAAACTCTACGGGAAACAGTTATGTGTTTAAACGCCACCTATTTAAAAACGCTACGAAATATTTGAAGAATCTGTGTTTTTATATAAACGGAGAGAAAAGGCGAAGAATATAACGATTATTGGCTACGAATATGGTGGTTTTCTAAGCGTAGTTTAAATGTGGCACAAACTACAACAACTCCTACAGAAGTAATCGAAGGAAAACGAGTAGAAAGGACTAAGTATAAACCAAAAGAAGACAGAATGCGTGGTTATCAGCAGACAGATGAGCCAAAATTGTAAATTACAAATCGGGGATACTAAAATCAAACAAGTACAGAACTTTAAATACAGTGCAACTTCGGTACTCGAATGTCTTACATGTCGAACAAATCGGTTTTCGAACTGAAAATTCGAGATGAAAATACTTCGGTTATCGAACAAAATTTCGGTTCTCGAACAACATTATGAAACCGAGTTAACCCAAACGGAATAATTTTGAGTCACCTGCCGTGTTGTATACATTGGTGTGTTGTGTTGTGCTTTTCTTTTCCAATGTAGTGTAAAGTGATTTTTTTTCTCTACATTGATTCCTATTGGAAAAATAGTTTCGGTTTACGAACATTTCGGGTTACGAACGGCCTTCAGGAACGAATTAAATTCATGAACCGAGGTATCTGGGAAGTGTTCTAACAAAGGGCAGACAGTCTGACACAGATCCGAAGAGGTATTGCGATAGTCAAAGACGCATTCTAGAAGATAAGCAAAGTATTAAGAGACAGGAACATTTCGTTAGAAAGAAAGAAAAGAGTAGTGAACTATTTCGTGATATCTGTTCTCCTGATGGCAGTGAATTCTGGACAATCTTCTGAAAGATGAAGAAGAGATTGAACTAACATAAATGTGGTTCTACAGAAAGATGCTGAGGATACCATGGACCGAATATTTGATCAACAACGAGGTTCTGGAGGAAATGGAATGTAAGTGGAAACTCACAAGACAGAAAAGGGACAGAGGAAAGCAATGCGTAATATATTTGATAAGCTTGAGCAGATGAATGGTAGAACAAGATTTTGGAGAAATAACAAAAAGACAAAACTTATTATTAAGAGTTACAAGCAAAAGGAAGATGTGGATGGCCATGATTGCTTAGCTCCTGAAGGAACACGTCACATAAAAGAATAACGTGCCGAGTTTATAAAACCTTGGCCTGAATAAACCTAGAATCTCGAAGTGAGATGCCTCCTATAAAACTGTTTGTGTATAAATCTTTCCAGTCCTGCTGTCGGGGTGAGACACCCTCTTTCAAGTAGCCAGCACGGAAGAGTGGGTTAATAAAACTAACATGAAAATATCAAACTGAAGATTTCCAGAGTAGAGGGGGTCTGTTATCATTATAGTGGATCAACAGCACCAAACCAATGTTACAGCGGCGATTAGGGGATCGCTCCAGCAGATCTAGACTGTTATTACATTCAACCACATAAAAATAAATATGGCTACTCAAAGCCGAGATCTTTGAAGAGAACTATCTTATGATAGTGTGCAATGTACCGTTGGCGGAGATAGCGAAAAGATAAAAGCTGATGATATCGTGAGGGAATGATAACAGATCAGAATGATTGCTTCTTATTGAAAGTCGATCTACTGAAGTATTTTACTTTTGGCACATTGCTTGAACACAATCTTTTTTTTTCCGGTGAACGTGAATATAGTTTTGCATCGCTGATAAATGTTATGAGCTTAAATGCTAAATGTTCTCTCCAATTTATAGTTTGGAGCAACACAATCTTCCTCTTCATATTTATTATTCTTAAAATTTTCTCGATTCTTACATATTCAATTTTTCGTATTCTCAGCATCCTTTTGTAGAACCATTAGTCTTTTATTTCAGTTCTCTTCTGAGGAAATTGTTCAAAAGTTACTGCCATATAGGAGAATGGGTATTACATCACATTTGAACAATCTTTTCTTTGTTTCAAAAGAAAGTTTCCCGATGGATATTTGTGTCATTTTCCATCATCTATTATAAGAGTTCTGAACTCTCTTTATTTCGACGTTCCCAGTTTATATACCTCTTTGATTATCACTAGCAACCATATATATATATATTTTTTACAATTGATAGTTGCCTTTACAACTTTGTCTGCAAATAATTACAGTGTTCTTTCTGTGTCTGCCATGAAAAATTGAAATATCCACACTTGTGAAAAATGTCAAATCACGGGGATTGAGGTAGATTAAGAAAGATTATTTTTTAAATTACATTCTGTGTTATCAGAAACCCTGTTTTGTTATTAATCATTTTTATTCAGAATGAGTCCGGGACCTGAAAAAAAAAAAGACATGGTTACTTATTGTGTTTATGTAAACATAAATCTATCTAAATACATTTATCCTGGCGTACGGCAACATCACGTTCAAACACCGATTTCGTACGATCACCGAAATTAAGCAACGTCGAGCATGGGCAGTACCAAGATGGGTGACAGCTTGGGAATACCAGGTGTTGTAAGCGTGCATTATTCTGTAGAACCTTATCTCTTTTTATTTTTTACAGTGAGTTTCACCCAGACAGAGGTCCGGGTGCTACTCGTGGCAGAGTGGTACAGAGTAAGAATCACAATTTATGCAGATATGTGGGGAACATAAATCCCTAAACTTGAGAAGGTTAAGATTGTAGTGATCAGGGATACATCTTCATGGGAGACGGTTCCACGGAGCCGTGGTTCGTGGAAAGAAGACGCTCGAGTGGAACTTCTTACCAATCGAATACGGAGGGAATGTGAGTGGTTTATGACAATGTGAGAGGCATGCTGGGACATAGCCGTGAAGGTTAGAGCTGGCAGCTCCAAGGAATGCAGTTTATTCGAGCACTCTCTATGGAATTAGCGATAGAGCAGTGAGAGGTTTTTTACAGCCAGTGAATGAGAGAGGGGTAGAGGTTGGAAAATATTTTGTCCCACACAAGGACGCGGGGACGCTTATCAACTCTATTTAGACTAGAAATTAAGGAGTGACAGCAGCACTCCATTTTAGGCCTGATAGGGCTCTTGTAAATGCAGTTCATAGAAAGTACTTGCTACAGCGGTACAGGATAACAGAGAATCTTTCCTTGATCTTTAACTATCTATGGCATTTACAAGTTCCACTTGAGATCTGGGTTGAGTGTAAGGCTTAATAAACGTTCAAGGCACGGGGCCTCCATGAGAGGACATCCAATCATCGTGACAGGTGATAGTTTTGAATTCTGATCAGTGATTATTTTTGCTTCAAATATCCGCTAATCTGTTAGGAACATGTTCAACGTTCACTGCCATATATTTTTTTACAATGACCGTGTACAAGGCTCAAGAGCCACTTGGATTAACGAGTTACAGTTTATGTGGATATGAGTGGAAGGTAACGGTTGAACCAAGACTTGAACAGGTTGAGATTGTAGTCATTGTGGAACCATAAAATTAGTACTATATCATATTTAAAGACTCTTTTTCACCCTAAACTGGAATAAGTTTAAATGCTAATTTTCTGGGTAGTCATTTCTCTCCACTGTTTGGCGCTACACATTTTTCTCCTACTGTTATGGAGTGGTTTCATAGTGGAGGCTTGTATTTGTACTAAGTCGGTCCTAAAATAGGTTCGACATACAAAACGTTAGGAACTTGATATAATAGGTAATGACGCAGAGTAATCTAGTGGTGGTCGCTGATACTTTAGTATCCGACTAACGGTCGTCCGGTATCGATTGACGATATTTAGTCACCCCCCACCACACGAGGACATCATGTGGCACAAGGCCAGTTTAACGTGAGATCTCCGAGCCAGTGGGATCTCCGAGCCAGTGGGATATCCGAGCCAGTGGGCTCGGCCAAAAATATGCCCATTGAACCCGTATAAACGGGTTCAGGGTCGGTTTACCTCCCCGAAAGAGAATCCGCCCTTTGGCATAGCCTCCTTCGGGTTCCTCCCCGCCCAAAGGCAAAGAGTTCAACCGATCAGCCAGTCTACTGACTGCCCGACCCACTGAGCGACTACTACTACTCCTACTTATTATAGGTGGGAGAGTCTATTAACTATAGAATAGGTGTGTTCCACTATAGCTACTATTCACTACACTTGCGTGTGTGTTCTATTAAGCTTACTAGATACCAAAAACATGTAGGATTTAGAATATTGAACGCTTAAATTCTACACAGTCCACTCCTCCCATCTTTAATGATTGGTGTAAAACAATTCTACTCCGCCTGTTATCTCCATTTGGCTGCATTGTACTAAGCTTACTAAATACCAAAGAAAACTATAAGTTAGAATAACGAATGCTAAATTTCTAGGCAAGAAGTGTGCCATCCATTTCACAAATTGTCATAACACAATCTTCCCCCAGTTAGCCTATCCATTTATCTCTGGGTTGTATTAAATTAGACCAGACACCGGATTGGTTCTCAAGGTGCAGATTCTGCCAGTCAAACGATAGATCGAGACCCACGGAATAAAAAAAAACATGAGCCGATTGTAGTAGTATGCAAATTGTATTTTGGTTGTAACCTTCTGCTGTAGACGAGCGAAGTAGAGATTAGATGAGGTGAGGGGGAAGGGAACAGTTCGACGAGCGTGTATTCCCTTTCACTTTCAGGTGAGGCAGTCTCTCGTCTCTCGTCACACTCCGTGCCGTTGTCTGAGTCTCTCTGTTTTCGGGACTAGTGACCCGTGTCTTATAGAGACATCGTTCTTTGCCTTTTCCCCTTTGTCTAAAAAAGTAAGTTATCAAGAACCCAGGAATCTGCTTTGTCCGGATCGTTTCACATGGTTATTGTGAGGTCCACTTCACTTAGCTGATAATCATCAGGACAATAACATGTTTTAGATGTTTCCATTTAACAAGATATCGACTGACAGTGATATCGCAAATATATAGGTTAGGAGTTTTAATGCTAACTTACTAAATAGAAGAATCGTCCTCTGTTTATAAACTAGTGTAGCATAATCTTACTCCAATTATTTCGATTTAGCTTTTTGCTATACTAAGCTTACTAAATATCAAAACTGCTGTATAAATTAGGATTTTGAATGCTAAAATACTAGATTGGCGGGTCCTCCCCTGTATTTAGACTGGAGTAGCACAATCATACACTTTATATCTCCCTTTATCATTGTGTTGTACTAAGATTGCAAAATACAAGGATGTGCATAATTTAGGAATTTGAATGTTAAAATTCTAGGCGAAGATGTCCTTTCCTTTTCTTCAGATAGGCTAATACAATCTTTCACTGACTTTGCTTTTTTTAGTCTTTAATTCTATTATGTTAAACTCAGTGATTTTCTTCTATCTCTCTATAGAATTCTTTGACTTCCGTGAGGCTGTCCGTCATACCTTCTAAAATAGCCATATATTGGCCAATCGAAACCAAAGTTTGGGGAGAAGCAAAAACAGGTAAGCTGACACAAATCACAGTAGGTTTTACTAGAGTGCGTAGCTTAGTACAGTACATTTTCATTCATTTTTTGGAAAAATTAAAAGTTTCCTAATTTAACATACAAAATATAACCACTATTTTTTTTAAAAAATGACTAAATTAAGAAATACTTATTTAATAAAAATCCAATATTGTTTTTTGCATATCTTTTCCTTGAGTTTCTATACACAAGAATCTAGATTCCACTTCACCCCACGTATGAGAGTGTTGTGGTAGGATCCACCTAATTTGCATAGTGGAGTACCGACCATATAAATATGGTTGGTACCGGGAAGAGAGGAAGGAATCAAGAGATTCAACCAGAGACTCTGCCCGACTGCGACTCAGTCAACACATTCTCCAGGAACGGTCTTACCAGGAATATAAAAAAGACTATATGTAAATATTGTGTACACTTTCTTGTTTCAATACATTTTGTTCTAAGTACATTTTGTGTTGCATTATTATTCCATGCATTAGTCAAGTTTCAACAGAGAGCACTATAAACAAAATGCAAGACTAAACTCTTCAAAAAGTTAGAATTTGCGCCCGGAAAGAAATATTTACGCATGGCCAGTTGAATGTTGCATGCTCAAGAGTAAGAAATCCTAAGAATTTATTGTTCATTCTTCAAAAAGGAAAATGACGAAAACGAAATTTTCTTAAAAATATTATTTACCGTGAAGTCCTATAAAATTAAATAAAATTTAAAGAAATTATTAAAACACGAAGTAGAGATTTGTCAAAGTATTTTTCCAAAAAAAATCAGGTTATTCAATTTTCATCGACTGGTTTGCGAAATTGAACGAAACATGGAGCTCGTAAATCTCGACAATAATGCAAGCGATAACTTCAAAATATACTAAATATTGTGAGGATTTCCATACGCGTCTAGAAACTGAAATAATGAGACAAAATGTGACATAAATTGTCACTCCAACAATTGCGTTACTTGATGTATGACGTATGTATACTTGATATATGCCATCACGACTGAGCCACTATCATCTTGAATCAAACGTTCTTCTTTCCCATTCAGCGATCAGTTGGAATAAAAACTTATCTTTGCCTTTTATTTTCTTTATTCTTTATACAATACACCTGAGGTTATTTAAGTCATATCATGAATTATTTTTCATAAAATAGAAATTCGGGCAATTCCGATGTGGTAATGCATGTGAAACTTTCAGTTACATATGTAAATTGAATAAGTTTTCTATTTTCTTTTACCTCACGTTCATCATAGAAATGAGGCATGGCTTCCGAAATAAGTCGTGTCAGAACGAAACGAGTTATCTTCACGTTTGTCCTTTCGAAAAAGTACTTGGTCACGTCGTAAATTGTCATGATAAAACGAAATCAGTTTGCGTTCTTTAAACACAAAGAGATTTTCTATAATAAAATATCAGATCATGATATATATATATATATATATATATATATATATATATATATATATATATATATATATAAAGAGAGAGAGAGAGAGAGGGAGTTTAAAAAATCAGGGGATCAATTAAAATACCCGGTGATAGTTTCGATCTGAGAGTGTCTTCGGGTGGGTACTTTTAAAATGACCATGGTCACGTATTTTAATTGCCCTGATTTTTAAAATTAAAAGCTCTACATGTTATTTATATTTTTATATTTACTCATATTTTATATATATATATATATATATATATATATATATATATATATATATATATATATATATAATAAGTATGCTGTGTTAATGTTTTTGAGATGACTATCGGTTCAAAATCAGTAAAAAATGAATGTCAGATGTCAGGAATTAATTGAAATGCCTAAAAAAACAATAGTGGGTTGATTTGTTGATTTTTAAGATTTATCAACACTTTGTCGAATAAATATTGGATTAAAATTTTATTTAAAAATAACAATGAATTTATCCTAACTATTTAATCCATAGCTGAGTGAGAAGATAGACTGATACCTTTCCTAAGTGTATTTGCTTGTAAGCCAATTTAACGGATTCGGTTGTCCGAGTCATACGCAATAAAGCCTCCATATATGTATATTTAAATATAAATGCATGCGAA